AGACACGGGATTACGATTTCTTCATTCCGACACATCTCTGATTTCTTCACGCTCCCTTAGACACGGGATTACGATTTCTTCATTCCGACACATCTGTGATTTCTTCATGCTCCCTTAGACATGGGATTATGATTTCTTCATTCCGACACATCTGTGATTTCTTCATGTACTCTCATACACATCTGTGGCTTCTTCATTCCTCCTCACACGCCTATGATTTCCTTTTCCCTCACATGTGTCTGTGATTTCTTCATTTTGTCTCACACGCATTTACAATTTCTTCATCCTCCCACACACATCCATGGTTTCTTCATTTTCCCTCACACACGTCTACGATTTCTTCATTCTCCTCCACACATATTTACAATTTCTTCATTCTCCCACATGCATGTCTGTATTGCTAATAGTGGCCCATTTCAGACTGCATTCTACTGGAAAACCACATCTAACCAACAGTACTTCTCTCTGACTTTGGGGAAAACACTTTTCTCTGAGACTACTCACATTTATTATAACACAGTATTTATTTTGTTGTTTTTAGCTGCCACTGAGTCAGCTTCGACGCGTGACAACCTTATGTATAACAGAAAGAAATGTTGCTCGGTCCTGTGCCATCCTCATAATCACTGCTATGTTTGAGCCCATTGTTGCAGACATAGTATTTACAAATTGCTTTAATTAAATTCCAGTCCTGGATCCCACTATTCTCCATTTCTTACTGATCTAATCAAGAGAAAGTAATTATCTCTGTACCCAATGTATCACACAGAACAAGTCTGTTACTAGCTCACCTTGTCCCGCAAATGATGTTCTGCGGCTTCAATATTCAGTGGATCATCAAAATTCAAAAGATCCTTAAAAAGAAAGAAACTCAAAGTCAGCAGTGGGAAGAATCTGCTTTTCTGCTGTTATAAGTCTTCCTATTGTGAAGCAGGCAACAGAAATCTAATTAGCAGTGGCGGAATGACCTGGAGACAAGCAATTCCAGTAAGAACCAAAGTTCCTTCGAGGTAAGGGTACTATACATGTGGGCATTTTTTTCAAAATGGTGATTATGGTTGACTGAATGAAGCTGGGGCTATGTGTACATGGAATTCAAGAGTTTGGTAAAAATGGAAGCAGCAGCAACCACATTAATTTCTCATGCTATTTTTTATAACTGGAGAATGAAAACCACAAACCACTCTCACTATGAACATTTAAAAAATAAAAATCATAGTTCTTTCATTAAAAATACATTTTCCTCTTTTAATTTAGTTTGTGATTAACAACTTCGCCTTTGTAAGGCTCAGCTTTCAGTTCTGACCTTGTAATCCACGGGCATGAGCATTTCACTCCATCCCAGCTGCGACAGCGTCTGCAACCTCGCTGAACGCAGGACCATGCCACTGGGCCGGCCTGCTCCTGGGCCCCTAAGACTGACACCAGGATCCTTTTACCTCAGAAAAGCATCCGAATGGCTTGGCCCCCAGTCCCGCAAGAAACATCACAGAACAGATGCTCAATTCCAGATCAGAGGCTGGGTCTGATCTTTACACTTCCCATTCCTCTTCTTGAAAATCAGAGTAGTGACTTTGTTGTTTTGGGTCACTGCTTTCCACAGCATGCAATATATAATGGGTCATTTAAAGACAACCATATTTCTCCTCAGAACCATGTTAAACTGGGGGGTTCTACTCCTGACTTGGAAATTAGTATGAATGTGGCCAATCATATGTCATAAATAAAGCAAAGAAAAATTATGAACCTCTGTGATCATTTACAGTTGTAAAATTAAGACTCCAAGTCTTGGAAATGGGCAAAAATATAAAGTACGTAATCTATGAGTTACCCAAAATACCATAAAGACTATGTCAGACATACAGAATTCTTCATCTTCTTTACCATACATCTGCCCTAAAGTGAATATTGGTGGAATAACCATGGCAGACTTAATGCGCACTTCTGATGGGCTCTTTAGAATTCAGAAGGCTTGGATGGGGCACTAGGAGAGGCGATGGGGAGCTCATTTGGCTGCATCAGATTTCTTCAGAAACAAAAACAAAAGACAAGTCCACAGAGCCGATGCTTATTTCCTTCCATTAAATCCCCTGAAGCAAGCAGTTAGTCAAAACTGCTTCACAAGCCACAGGGCCTATGGGAGGTGTGATGGGTTCCAGAAGAATCTATGTGGCTGCTGATGACAGTGATGGGTGTGTGGACCCCTGGCGAGGGTCTGAACTAGCAGCTGTCCTCGTTGGCCCCTCAACCAAAGCTAAAGATACAAAGGCTCCATATTACAATGTAGCACAACCACGGAGCAGATCTCAAATCACACTCAACCTTGTACTTCACTCACTTCAATGGAAAAGCCATGAACAGAATTACAACCAAACTACAGGGCTGGCAGACACTGGGTGGCGGAGCCCAGGTCTCAGCAGGAACTATCTCCTGTGGGGATGAGGACGATCCTGGAACAACTGGGAAGTGCGTGTGTGTCTGCTTGTGCCTCAGGCACCCGTGGGGAACACCAGTGTGATGTTCACCAAAGGCAGAAGGCAGGTAGGATGGTGAGGCTGAGTCCTGAGGCCCTGCTCCTTTTCCTCATGCTGAAGGTAAGCACAGAAATACAGGATGCGGACCAGCAGACCCGCCCTGGGTCTGGCTGTGGCAAGTCCCGTGAGCCTGCACCCAACGTCTCGGGGACGCCAGGCTGTCGTCCTGGGCAGGCTGTCAGTCCGAGATAGACTCATTTCCATGGGGAGGAACTAAGGTTTTAACAAAAGTTGCAGAACTTGGTTTTATCAGAGGCAGATCTCTGAAGTTCATTTCCAGTAAAGCTCTTTTTTGACTCAAAAAGTAAAAATTCAAAGGAACAAATAACACTGGGTAAAACATCCAGATGATGGCGTTCTGCAATGCCCTCCCCAGCGTTTCACCGGGCCTCTTCCTGCCCACAGCCTGTCTGAGCCGTGCTTTCTCCCTGACAAAGGCACCCTTGGGCAGCTCAGCGCTCATCATCCTAAAACAACACCTCCAAGGTTCTGATCAGGGTAGGTAAGCACAGCATTATTCCTCCAAACCAGGACCCTCACGGGGCAGGGTCACAGCCAGGGACTGAGCCACCCCACTTACAGGAGGCTCGACACATGAGACTGGCCTGGCACCCCCAGAAGAGGGAGCCCCTCCCTCCTACAGGCAGAGAGCGGCTGTTCTTGACTCTCACACCAAACCAGCTCCACCCCATCCCACTGCCCACCTGTCCCACCACCACCCTCCCCTCTGACTCATAAAAGTGCAACAGAAAAGAGGGGGACACATGTGCATGGGTTTCTGGGATTTTTTAACCCCCCTCGTGTTATCCTTAACGTGATGGTTACAAGCAGAAGTCAAGGAAATTAAGAAAAAATTGGACTTTTGATCAATGTACTTACAGTAAATAAAGAGTTTAATCCCCAAACAACATCCTGAAATAAGGAAGAAAACAAGTTTCAGGCTCCTGAGCACTTCAAGTATTTTAACTCCACGACCGAGGACCGTGTGCTGTCCCGCACCAAAACCTACCTTCAGCACGCTTTGTTCTTCTCAGGACAGAAAATTACAACAACCTCCCCTAGAGTGCTGGGGACCCACAGCAGTGAATGTAAGAGCAGGGCGCGCACGCCGGCCACCCTGGGCGCGGCCACCCAACCCTGTGCCCCGGCGGCCCACAGGTCCTCAGGAGCGAGTACGGCTTTGAATAAATCCACCTGCCATCACCAAATACTGTCCAGACCTTTCAAGTCATCCTAAAAATAGATAAGCCAACTACCCACCACCCCACTGGGTCCTAATAGCTGCTCTAAAGTTATGTCGAAGATCAAGGGAGGCTGACATTTCCAAGAATCAGAGGTTTTCATTAAAACAAAACTAAAGCCAGCGTTCTGCCTGTGCTACCTTGTGATTTGTGACTTGATCACAAACCCCTTCTTGGCCTTCCTGTCAATGAGATGAAGAGTCTGGTCTTTTAAGGTGCGTTTTCATTCTCATCCAATACTGAGTCGTTTTAATTGCCTTCCCTCGTTTACCCAGCCCTGCCCCGTCCCTGGCCTCTTGGTGTGAGCTGGTGCAGAGGAGGAAGACGAGCTCTCAGGCCATCTCAGGGGACAGACAGACGTGTGTCAGCGGACTAGCAGCCGTCCACGGGAGATGCGTTATCACAGAGGACCAGGGAGGAAGGGCTGGCTGCGGGGCGGCACTGCACCTACCTTCAGCGTCCTCGTGGGAGCCCAGCCAGTGCCGTCAATCGAATGTTCTCGCAGTAAACTGAACAGACACAGAAACCACAGGGTTAGGCAGCAGTAGCTGCCGTTTGGTCACGTGACGCCCCGGGAGGCACTGCACTCGCCGCCCCAACTTCTGCCAGTCTGCCTTTGGATGCTTACACCGCACAGGACACTCACGTTCTATCACACTGCGGTGGGCTGTGAGGCCCGCGAGGGTTAAACGTCCTGCCCTGAGACCCACAGCTGCCAAGTGAGGGGCTGGGGCTCAAACCCAGGTGGTCCGGCACCAAAGCCCCTGCAACTGGACCACTGCCTCAATAGAGGAAGCGGAAAAACAGAGGAATAAGCCCAAACGCTCAGTTTCTTATTTATTTTTTAAAATCCACTCATCATTTCCGTTTCTCCACATTATTTAGTCAAGCGGGAAAGGCACTGATCCTGAACTATTGCCACCGGAGATGGGGACGCAAGCCCACCGACACAACGCTCCAAGGCACCCCGGGCAGGTCATGACCAGTCTGCTAAACAGAGTGCGCCTGGAGTGCCCCTGCCCCGGGTCTTCTTAAGCCTGGGTTCCACGCTTTCTCCTCTGGATTTCATTAATCGTACTCTTCACTCTTAGCTAAAACCACCCAAATGGAGGGAACATGGTCCTCGTTAGAATAGAAGGAGGGACCTCCTAGCCACAGGCTGTCCTGAGAACCAGGCCGGGGCCTTGGACACGAGCGGGCAGCAGGCGGACGCAGGTCTGGGGTGGAAGCCGGCACAGGCCAGGGAGCAGATGGGCACTTCAGCTACTACGGGTTTAACCCAAGGCCCTGAGGTATGGTTTTCCAAATCTCCTCTCAGGCAAGCTGACATTTTTAAAAAGCCCAGTGACCAAACCCACGATGGTCACGTGCAGAGAAAAAGGAAAGTAAAGGAACTTGCCTCAGACAGATGTCCCCTGTCTCTGTGATGTTGGGGTGCCAGATTCTGGTCAAGCATTTCACTTTGGGGGGCTGTGAAATGGAGAGAGAGAGATCACAACGATGGCCTTTCAAAACCACAACAGTCTCATCTACAGCTCACTGCAGGGCCCGACTCGGGAACAGTCCCTCCATCACAGCAGTCTGTCCACAGCCCAGCACAGGGCCCCGCTCAGGAACAGTCCCTCAGTCACAGCAGTCTGTCCACAGCCCAGCGCAGGGTGTCACTCGGGAATAGTCCCTCAGCCACAGCAGTCTGTCCACAGCCCAGCACAGGGCCCCGCTCAGGAACAGTCCCTCAGTCACAGCAGTCTGTCCACAGCCCAGCGCAGGGTGTCACTCGGGAATAGTCCCTCAGCCACAGCAGTCTGTCCACAGCCCAGCACAGGGCCCCGCTTGGGCACAGTCCCTCCATCACAGCAGTCTGTCCACAGCCCAGCGCAGGGCCCCGCTCGGGAACAGTCCCTCCATCACAGCAGTCTGTCCACAGCCCAGCGCAGGCTACACTCAGTACTCACTCACCCATCTGGCTGCTCCCTCAGTGTTCAGTGCACCTCACCAAGCATGGGTGCAAACCTGAATACTGGCTCACTTCACATCGGCAGGAGTGTGTTTTCACACCAAATCCAGTACTGCCGATCTCACTGACAGCCTGCCAGCACAACCCAGCAGAACTTCCACAGATGCCCTGTGTCCTGACACATACACAGAGGATGACTTGGGTGGTGCCGTGGAGGAGGCCGCAGTCACTCCAAGGAAGCGTTCTGCATTCTCAGGGCCCCAGGACCCAACGAGCAACAGACACCTTTGCACTAAAAGTCACTGCGCTGTGGCTGAAGGTGACTGCGCCTGGCACCAGTGACCCAGCCCTCTACTATATGTTCCTGAAGATACTATCACAGCACACATCCTCCCTGAGTAAGCTCTTAGCCCAGTTTATGTTTAAAAGCAGGGAGAATCAAAGTGCATACGTGGGAGTGACATGCAGCACTGTGTGACATCACTTATGATGGCCTGTTTGGAGAGAGCGGTTCTTTTGTGATTTCTCTACTATAGGAGCAATCCATGCTCAGTTAAGAAAAAAAGAAAACAAAAATGAGAGGAAAAAAGGTATATTTATACTCCACTCAGAAATACTTTGTATTAACACCCGGGGTGTATTTTTTGAGACCCTTGTCTAGGCCACACACGTGTTCATTTTTCTTCACAGAAACGGGACATGTGCCGTCTGCTGTTTTAGGTATTAATTTCCACCATCCCTTCAGGGGCCTTCCGGCTCCCCACGGTGTGGGTGGACTAGCACTGAACGAACCACCACCCTATCACTGCACGTCTGGGTAGCGCCCAGCCCCCGGTACAAACCGTGCCGCATCAACGTTGCTATCTCTGCCCACATCCTCTATCATTTCTTCAGGACAAAGCCCAGGAAGAGGACTTTCTGGTCAGAAACACGGGCTTCGGACACAGGGCCGAGTGTCCTGGCCTCTTGAGAAGGCTGTGACACAGCACCCACCTGCAGCGCGGGGGTGCCCACGGTTCTAGTCCTCCGGCTAGAGGGAGCGCTGGAGTGATCTGAGACAGATGGCATCTCAAGTCACCAAGACCCTGATGTGATCAACCCTCTGTTAACTGGAGCCGCACTTCCTGGTTTACCTTCGGTATTAATCCTGACTTGTGGTGTGGAATTTTTTTATCTCTATAACCAAATTGTTATACTTGATATCATACTTTACCATCTCAGAGGTATGTAAATACTCTCCTGTGCTTTTTCCTACCATCTCATCTTCTAACCTGCATGATACAGACTTTTACAGCACCCTAACGAACTTCCTTTCTGATTTCAAACCACCACGACATCAAGAGACTCTGCCAAATTACTGAACCAAATGTGCAAATGTATGTGTCCAAGGACTAAAGAATTCCGGTTCAAAGTGAGTTTGAACACACTTAATCAGCTCTAAGGTGCTTCCCTACGAGCACAAAGGGACGTGGCTGAGGGAGCGAAGGCCTGCGTGTCCTCAACCTCCTGAGAGGTCCGAGGCTGCAGAGAGGCGGTCAGCACCCCGTCAGCAGGGCTGTGGAACCCTCTCGGGAACTGAACAGTCAGTCTGGGGGTTAGACTGCATCACCGCCTCCAGCATTTGAAGGAACCTAAAAGAAGGGGGAGCTTGCTTTCCCTCCCAAGACGGTCTCCTCTCAGCGGAGTCCCCGACACATGCTCACTGCCCCCAGGGTTTGCTGCGTCTCCCAGGGGTGTGGCTCTCTCCTCCTTGCTCCTTCCACCTTCTGTGTTCCATCTACGGTTAAGATGCTGACACAGACTGCTCCTTTGTACCCAAAACAGAGCTTGCTCTGCATCAGAAGCGCAGACTTTGCGTTTGGACACAACACGTTCCACACTGAACTCTTCTACACCAGCCCCTGCCTAGGCCACCAGAGCAAGACAAACAACACTCGCTCTGCCTCCTGCAGTCTCCACCGCGCTGGCTGCCACTGCCCTCCGCCCAACCGTGTAACTAAGAGTTTCACGTATGATTAATACTGCACTCCAATTCTATGGGGAAAAGTTGGTTCATTCAGTGGACAACTAGATAAACAGCTGGAAAAATACAGTTACAGAGACCCACTCAGAGCTTTACTCCAGATGTATTAAACTCCCCATAAAACATACAGAACTCTAAGAATACCAGAAGCAAATGTAGAGAATCATCCTGGGGTCTGAGGGCCTGTGATAAACATTTCATAACATGAAAAAGGAAAAAAAGATTCAATTACAGTAGCAAAACAAAAAAACAAACGTTTATAGAACAACAACAACAAAAACACAAATGGAAAACAAGGAAAATATTTACGGCATAGCTCAGAAAAGAGTTTTACATCATTTATATAAAGAATTTTTATAAATCTGTAAGGAAAATAAATACTTCAATGGAAAAAACAGGCAAAGGACATAGTAGCAGCTCATAAAAAAATAATAAATAGTGTAAGTAGGAATAATATTCAGCATCCTACTTATTTAAGAAATGCAAATTCAAACAATGATTTGATGTCATTTATTTCCTCCCAAAATGGCACACAAAAAAAATAAAGACACACATTCTTCACGAGGATTTAGGAAAAAGGGTCTTTTCCAACACGGACAGTGAGGACGCCAACAGGCACAGCCTCTCTGGAGGGTAACTTAATATTTATCAAGAGCCTTAAGCTGAGCGTCAGTTACTCACACCCCATGATTCCACCTGTAGGGACCGCTGGAGGGAGAGAGGCGGACAGCGCCCTGGCTGTGTGGGACGCATCTCACCCCACCGTTTATCCCAGGGGCCAGCAGACTCCACCCAGCCCATGGCCTGGTCTTACACGGCCTGAGATCTAACAACGCCTTTTACATTTTTAAAAGGTGTTTTTTAAAAAAAAGAATGTGTGCCAGAGACTGAACATGGGCCACAAAGCTTGAAATGTTTACTACCGGGCTCTTCACAGAGAGAGTCTGGCTAATGTCATCAGACAAGTGGCTGAGGAGTTGTTTAAAAGCATGGTCCCTCCATGCCATCAAACGCTCTCACTAACGATGATGTGATCGTATGTATTAACCGGCATGAGAATATATGTTCGCACAGTATGGCCAAGTTACCAACTACGTGTAGTGTGACTCCCTTCGTCTGTCTGACCACATATCGTCTGTAACACACATCAGCAACTTATGCTTACTACCCCTGGGTCGTGGGGTGTGCAGCCACCATTTCTAAATTTCCTACAAAGTACAGCAAACTACCTGAGAAGTGGGAGTTCAGCCATCACCCTCCTGCCCTCAGGACTGCGCCTGAACAAGTATTTCTGGCAACGTGGCAGGGCTGCCTTCTCTACCCACTTTGGGGCCGGCCATGGCCAATAATATGCAAGGGATGTGACTCATGTCGCTCCCCAGAGGAAACCAGAGCCACGTGCCCTCTTCCTGCCTCAGCCTGGGCCTCTGCGAGTGGAGGATGCCGGGCAGAGCCTCCCATCAACCCCCGAACGACATGCAGCAGGAGCCAGAGATGATCTGCTGTACTCCTGGTTGTTTCCAGAAACCATCAGAATTGTCCCCAGATTCTAAACAGCTGTACTTAAACCAAATCTCTCAGACTGCCTCCCACCTGAGGCAGTGTCTGCCAAGCCAGGCTTCTCAATTTACAATTTGGAAAACAGCACGTCTCTGCAGACAGTGGGATGGTGGACAGGCAGGAAAACCAACATTTCCGGAAAGTATAAACAGGATACTTCTGACTTTTTTCTTAGATTACCAACTCTTCTCCAACCCCGTAAATTATACCTAAAAAGAACTTCAATGCAGTAGCTCAGTAAAGATGAATTTCCACAGAAAAAGGTTTGGCCTCAAGCAAAAAAGTGTTGCAGCCTGAACTGCACCCTAGTATGTTTCGGGGAAATGATAGGATTCTGCTTATCCAATAGTAGGGAGCACAATCACTGCAAGCAAGACAGTGGGACACACGGTGTCCCCAATACTCGCATCCTCAGATTTTTCCTCCTACGTGATAGGTCTGGAGCGGGTCAGAAACCACCACGGGAAGGCGTAAGTGAGCAGAGCTGCCCGCGTCCCCGCTCCCGGTGCTCACACCGCGCAGTTGGTTCAGAACCTTCAGTGGCTTCTCACTGTCAGATTGACAATGGCCAACAAAACCCTCAAATCTGAGTGTTCTCATTTTCTCCCCATTATTCCCCTGCCCCAATTCATCGACCTTCTACGCGTTGCCTGTTCTCATTTCCACCCTTGTTAAGAAGAAGACGTCATCTAGAACACCCTCTCCTGGGTCCGGGCCAAGCCAGTCAGGACCATTGACATTCTATTTCTGCTTCAAACCTTCCCTGGCCCTGGCCGTTCTCCGAAAGCCATCACCTCTCGCTCCTATCTCAATTCTCATGAGCTCGTTTCCCGTCGTTTGTCAGCATCTCTGTTGTCTGCTACGTTTGTTCCCCCCGCAGTCAGCTTTTTATACTTCACCCCCCACTTCCCTAACTGCTGTGTCAGCGCCTCAGAAGACGGATAGTATACTACTAGGTATAACTATTGGAGAGCCGGCGGCACAGCGGTTAAGAGCTACCGTACACTACGGCTGCTCACCAAAAGGTTGGCGGTTCGAATCCATCAGGTGCTCCTTGGAAACCCTATGGGACAGTCCTACTCTATCCTCTAGGATCGCTAAGAGTTGGAATCGACTCGACGGCAACTGATTCGGTTGTTTTAGGTATAACTGTTACCTAGAAGGGATTAAAATGTAGCTATGTGTATAAATGACTTACAAAGTCATTATTCTTTTCTACACTTCTAGAATGCACATTTTATTGACTTCTGGAATTTGGGTGTTACACCATCAACAAAATACAGTCTTAGACAAAATGCTTTTTTCCTCAGCGCCATACTCAGAAAAACAAGATCTACGTAAACTGCAGGTGGCTCACGTGAGGGCACCCCACCTCGGGGACAGGTATTCAGGTCTAACCCATTGGTTGTCTCCCTGACACACTCGGATGCCCCAGAAAAACCGCCTAGCACAGAGTACTCACTGAACATCTGCTCGGTGGGTGAATTTCTCTGCTGAAACTCTGAAGACCACCAATGAGGGACATTAACCACACAAACGTTAGCGACTTTGCGCCCAGGCCCACGGGTGAGCGACCCAACTGGTGGCGGAAGCACGGGAGGGGTGTTGGGCTGGGTGGTGGCGGCACAGGGCCCCCAGGGCAGGGGCTGTGGCCGGAGGAGGATGACAACAGGCCCCAACGGAGTCTACTCACCACCATGTTGTAGGCATCAGGAACTTCAGTTTCAAACTGAAATTTTCCACCCTGGTAGTAACCCTCATCTATCAAAAAACACAAAAGAAAACAAAAAAATCCTTTAAATTAAAAAAAAAAAAAAAAAGGAAACAAAAAGCAAACATTCTATTAGGATACAGCAAATACAGAATTAAGACTTTAAAACAGAGAAGTGAAGCATCCCCCCACATGCACGCAAGCTAGAGTTGAGTCCTACCCCTGAACTAATTAGGCATCAACTGTTCCCTGCTTGCTGTCTGTCTCCTCTGGGGATCCTTCTGGAAGACCAGCTCCTTCATCCTATGGTCACTCAGACCGCCCCCGACCACTCTCCCCACAACCCCATCACTCTTCCGCACCTCAGCACCCAGTGTACTCCCGACCCGTCTCACCACGTGGAAACCACCCCGTCTAAGTGACTCGTTCCTCTGCTCACTGCTGTCTCCCCAACGGAACGTCAGGCCCCCGAGGGAGGCCGACTAGAGCTGACCGCTGTCTTCCCCGTGCTTCACATGACTTCCATTCACACAACGAACATTTGCTGATCTCCTCCTCTGCCAGGTGCTGTTCTAGGCCCTGGGGGTGAAGAGTGAAGCAGACAAAAGCCGCTGCCTCAGCCAGTGTGCCCGGCCAACACTGTGGAATGGGCGGATGCCTCAGGAAATGGGGGCTGGCAGGTGCGTGGGAGGATGTCCAGGGTCTGAGTGCCACCGCCATGCCGTCCCCAGGTCTGCACTGACTGGGCTGTCCCCTCTCTTCTAGAGTCAGCCTGCAGGGAGCCGGGCTCCACACGCAGGAAGGTCTGCTGGAGCCGTCGCCGGCCAAGGACACTCGGGCGAGAAGGCACTTGAGCCTGGAGAAGTCTCAAATGAAGTCAATCATTCCAAACGTTCAAGCTTGACAGAACTGCTATCAGTCCAGATAGGAGAGCTTTTCAAGCACGTAGTCTCTCAGGCATAAGATCCTCAGAGTACGCCCTAGCTCCACAGGCTCTGGGACCATCAGTCTCATATTCTGGTACTGACCACCACGGCACAGAGTCCAGTGCTGGGCAAACCATACAGTACACTCCGTTTCCAACCAGAGAAATGTTAACTCTCTAAGCTGCTGCTACAGCTTTCGGATGCTGTTGTGAATCTGCCGTCCTTTTCTTTGGGAATAACTGTTATCCATATGTTAGATGCCACGGTCCATCCTCCAGGCTGATGTGACATCTGTCCGTCCCATCCTTCCATACCAAAATTTTCTCTAATTGGCTTTTCATTTCACTGATAATATAGTTTCAACTCTATTGCCTATTAGTTTCAAAGATGTCATTTGGCCTAATGTTTTGATTTTGCCACATGCTTTCTGTCCCAGTCAAGTTCTCATTTAATAATTATTGGAATCACATCTTCTCTTAACTCATTGAAAACAGAGAGCAGGCATGTTCTAATTTCCCTTCTATTTCACAGACTACTTGGGAAAATGATCTGCTTCTGAGCCAGTATCTCTTTCTTCCTCTTCTAAGCTGCACAGCTCTTTGATCTGGTCCAATCTGTTTATTACCGAAGTTCCCCAGAAAGTCCACAGTCCAACTTAAAATGCAGCGGGGAACAGGTTGGAAGTATCTCTTATTTGCTATAATTTTCTTAAGGGGTGCCCAGTGAAAAGTTCGGACTCACCCCCTGGGCCTGGCTCTCGAGCCTGCCTGTTCCAGTGGGGAGTGTGGAGAGGTCTGCCCAGCTCTGCAGCTGGTGGGCAGAGGGGTTCATTTAGAGCATTATGGCCACAACACGCATCACAGCACCAAACACTGTTGCCAAGTCTAGGTTAACGTCTACGGCTGCTGTGGCTGAAAACACTCTGCCTCTAAGGTAACTGGACTTAAGACAGCCATGAAACGCAGGGGGAGGAAGTTCCTGGCACTGCGGCTCACAATCTGCCAACCTGTCCTCCACCCCAACTACAACCGTGCTTTGGAGCCCACTCCCTCCTGCCTTCGAGGAACCCAACACCAATGTCTTCAAACAGCGTTATGGGTCTCCCTGGAGACCAAAGACTGTCCAAGGGGTATGTAGGCACAGACAGCTTCGAAAGGGTCAATATCTAGATGTCCACTTTCTCACAGACTCTACCCTAAAATGAACCCTGAGATGATGCTCGAGGTCCAAGTGTCACGCTATTTTTCGTTTTCCATCCCCCCTTTCCATCACTGCCCTCCCACCTTTAAAAGAACAACCTACCTCTCACCTGTCCTAGCTCTACTACAGTACACTGTCCTAGGTATAAGGAAACCCCAGAGGACAAAAGGACCCCATGAGCGACAGGTCATAGAGAAGCTCCTGGAATCAAAGCGTGTGGTAGAGTGTGCATTCCCTACCTCACTCCCATTTCTGTGAAAGGCAAAACAAAAGGTGTTATAAGTAAGGTATCTGGGGTCGTGCTGGAGTCTTTTGAGTTCAGACATGCTGTCATGCCGATGGCAGGGCTGTTCAAAATTTCATTTAGTGACCTCACACTTCACTCCAAGACTACAGTAAAGGAACATATCACCCCCACAGGAAGGAAGCAAAGGGAGCGCCAAGAAGCAAACCTGTGGTGCCTTCTTCTGGCCAGGCGACCGGCTCCATGCCTCACCTATCTGACTAGGAATTAAAACTCTGAGGTGAGATGGTTGTCAGAGGGGAGCACGTTATAAGAAATAAAAGGTGAAGTAAGGCTTTGGCTGACCGGTCTGACAACAGAGCTGGGCCTGTCTATCAATGGAGATGGCAGACATTCCTGATAAGCTGAACGCACCAAATCTGAAGCTCCAAGCTTTTGAAGAAAATACAGAGCGTGTGATAAGATTTTTTAAATATTATATTGGTAAGTCTGTGTTGAAATGAACAACATGGCAATTTTCTCCATTCTTTTTGAGTATTTCAGGTACAATAAGATGCCTCAAAGTCCAAGAGTGACAAGTGTGACTAATGGCCATTTGATGGGTCTTAGAAAAGGGGCTTGGTGCACACTTCAGAAACTGCACAGTGAAGGGACTCTAACGATAGCGTGACAAAGCCTTTGGCAAGTCAGGAGGTTTTGGATTCTTTGCGTCAACAAAATGGAAGAAGAACCCAATTTAGCAGCCAGTTGAAACATCAAGAAAATGCATCATATGATTTTTGGCCTTAACTGTGAACTCCAAAAACACAATGACACTGCCATACCCAAACACCTTTCATGCCTGTCTACTTATCTATGTGAAAAAGCATTTCTCGGTGCTTCCATCTATAAAGACAAAACACAGGAAGAAAACTGATACTGAACCTTCTTTGAAAAATAAAGTGTGATATTCATACACAAATACATCAACCAAATCAGAAAAAATGCTAACAGTAACCCCTTCATTCTCAGATAAAATGTTATTTTATGGTTAATAATCAAAATTAGCAATATATTTATTGTTTTGATTCATTTATCTATTCAACAAACACTTGATGTGTGCCTACTATGCACGTGCACTGTTCTCGATATTGGTGGCAGGGTAATAAACAAAAGACAAACATTCCCACCCTCATGAAGCTTATATTCTAGTGGAAGGGAGACAGGCAAAATAAGTAAGTAAATAATATGACGTAAGATTGGAGCTAGGGGCTAGGCAGTGCGAGGAGCTGCAGCTCTCCACAGGGCGGCCAGGGAGAACGGAGACAGAGAAAGAGGGTCTCTGGGTGAGGAGCCCCCAGGAGGGAAGTGCGAGAAGGCCCGTGAGAGTACTGGGTGCTCACAGAACGCTGCGGAAGGAAGCCACGTGGCCAGAGCGAGCAGGAGAGAAGTAGGAGCTGAGGCCAAAGAGGTGACAGGCACAGACAGCACGGGGCCTGCGGGCCACTCCAAGTGTGCTGGGTTTTCCTCAGACTGACATGGGGCCATGGGAGGGCTCTGAGCGCAGGAGGGCCACGAGCACATAATTCAAAGGCAACAATTCTTCTTCTGTCTTCCTTATCCATTTTCCAACTTTCGCACGTGTATGAGGCGGGCGACTGAAAACACCATGGCCTTTGGTCAGGTGCACCTTAGTTCTCAACTTCACTACTCAAACTTTACTACCTGTAAAAAAAAAACCCACTGCCGTCCAGTGGATTCCAACTCATAGTGACCCTATAGGACAGAGTAAAGCTGCTCCACAGGGTTTCCAAGGAGCAACTGGTGGATTCGAACCGCCAGCCTTTTGGTTAGCAGCCATAGCACACAGTAGCTCTTAACTACTGTGCCACCAGGGCTCCATAAAACTTTACTACTTAGTCATAATTCTATAATTGTTTTTCAATACTAAGAGTAGCATGACTCCAGATGGATTTTTTTAAAAACCACGATATGAGGCACGTTTTTAGGGTTGGCAGATTTCTGCCGTCCTTCCCTTGATAACAAAGGGCAGGAGCCACGGCCGCTTTCCGACTCACTGCCACCACAAAGTCAGGGCAAACACTGAGCACCAAAAAGCACGCCGAGCACCCAGCTCACCGTGATGACAATGACCCCGGTGTGCACCATCACAAAATGCAAATGCTGAGGCACCGTGTACTCACAGGCACCGAAACCCAAGCGACCTTCTTCTCTGATCCACCACCACCACCCGTTGCCCCATAGGGCTTCCAAGGAGCGGCTGGTGGATTTGAACAGCTGACCTTTTGGTTAGCGGCCAAACTCTTACATTTTTATCTGATAGGACAGTGAACGCAAAACTGTAAAGAACAACTGCTAGACCAATGTAAGAACAGCAAGGAAGACAACATCAAAGACGCTGTCAGATACGCAATCTCAATAATCCAAACAGTCACGTGATTCCGTGAAAAATCGCCCTTTTTGTCCAGAGGTTAATCGTACAAGAAGCAACAAGCCTAGAAAAACCAGCAGAGGTCTCTGGGCGACTCTTGGTCGGGGGCAGGGGCGCAGAGCAATAGCATCCCCGACAGCCAGGGAAAACGCCCTATGAAGGCAGAGGAGGGAAGGTGTTTTTACTACAAACGCATGACAGCCTGAGACTACTCGGTAAACAGAGACCAATCTTAATTGCTGCAGTCATTTCTGAAAACACCCTGTACTACTTAAGGGTACAGTAAACAGTGCTCTTAATGTTACACGTTAAAGAGGTCACCCAGAAAGCATCCACGCGTGCTCATACCCCTCGGCAACAAAGCAGAAAGTGTTTAAGGAAGGTGGCAAAGGAATAGTTACAACTGTCGTCATTTCAAAGTTTAAGTCCTTGATCAGCTATCTATAAATGTCAGGTGTGTGGAACACCCATCTCTATAGACGAAGCTTTGCTCTCCACTGTACCCCTGTGCCCTCCCACCCCAGAGGGACAAAGCTTTGCTCTCCACTGTACCCCAGTGCCCTCCCAGCCCAGAGGGACAAAGCTTTGCTCTCCGCTGTACCCC